TATTATTTGCATATTCTATTCCCCACAACGAACATAATTGTTCATGTAACTTATGTTCTAAATAACCTAAGGTTAATGTTGCATAGGTAGGTGCGACTTTCATCCCCATTGCAGTTCCCTTAGTTTGAAGGTAATGATGGTCAGAAAAAGCAAATGAATTGTTTTCTAGAACTAATTTAAGTGCTTCTAAAATAAAATTCTGTTGGAATCTGTCATTTAGTATATCGGGATAACTTTCCATCCAAAATTTTACAGCTTCCAATCCTAATTCTGTAGGAATATTAGTATATAAACTAACGACATCAAAAGTGACAAGTTTTGTGTTACAGGTGATCTGAGTAGGTAAATGATTTATGAAATCCAGATCGTCTCTTACAAAGCTGGGTACTTTTTGACAATATGGTTTTAAAAGTATATCCAATAAGTGACTCAGTCTTTGTGTTGATGAGTTTGGTCCTCCTACAATGGGTCTGAAGCATAAATCACCTGGATCAAGACACGTAATACATACACTATTTTGATTTGCTATGGCGTCCTTAATAATTTTAGACTTGTGAACTCTAGGTAAACCATAGAATTGGCTCTCTCGGAATTCAAAGTTTGTCAGGTAGTCCTGTTCTTTATCTGTTAAACCTTCCGATAGTGGTCCATATACCAGCTTTTTTATTTTAGTAATTGTTTTCTTCTCATGACAATTGTGCAGTCTTACATAAAAGTTGTTGTCTTGTAACATTTGTAAGATTTTATTTTCGTAAAAATCCTTATTCATTAACACAACTCCACCTCCTTTATCAGCCTCTTTAATAATGATAGTAGGGTCATCGCATAGGCTTTTAAGAGCTTTTTCCTCTTCCTTAGAAAGGTTGGGTTTGATATTTCTGGGTTTGTTTGGAAAATGAATATTTTCTAATGTGTCGCAAACGGCATCCAAAGTTCGATTTCTTCCTCGTTTTGGATTAAACTTAGATTTGTTTCTTACCAGGTCTATTTGTTCTGCTTCTTGAGACTCGGAATCAGATTCATTGGTATCACTTTCATGAAAATATTCATATAGCCTGAGTCGTCGAGTATAGGCTTTAATATCCGTTTTAAGCTCTTGATTATTTACATGAGGTGTAGGGGTGTATTTAAGACCCTTAGACAGTAATTTGATTTCGGAATCCGTCAGATGTCTGTCGGAAAGATTAAATACTTTTGGTTCTATTTTAATTACATTCCTGGGTGCATCCCTGGAATTGTTGTTGTTAACAATTGTGGTAATTGGTTCTTGTATCTTTGGCCTTGGTTCATTTTGCCTCCTCCTAAAAAATAATTGCGTACCCCTCTTCCAATATACGTAGTTCTTTCGTTTCTGTAAAAGTTTGGTGGATGCCTACTTCTAACGTATCCTCGGTAATTTTCATTTTGTCTGTTATTGCCCCGATTCCGTCTTTTTATGCCTTTGTGGTACTTAGGAATCTGTTGATTTTGTGGAAAAGCACTACGAGAATGTATATATATATATATATATATTTATATATATATATACGAGAATGTATATATATATATATATATATATATATATATATATATATATATATATATATATATATATATATATATATATATAAAGCACTAAAAATGACCAACGACACGAACAATAATAATTGTCAAATTTTCGGGACGACCTGTCCCTTCCTCAGGACAAATGAAAAGGTTAAGAAGTCATAAAAACAAAGGAAATAGAGAAGCAAAAACAACTAGCACTACTACTAAACTACCAAACACTAAATATTTACAATGTTACATGTTTAATTTGGTTTATAAACAGTTGTGAACAAAGAAATCCGGAGCGCTATGAATTGCGTCCGGTCTCTCGGGTGTACTCTGCTGAAGTGTGATTTACATAATTGAACGAATTAATTATCGCTAATTAATTACGACCAACAGTAAATCGTACATTGTCTTATTCTCTCAAAAATAGCGTAACTCTACATGATAAAAAGAAATTAAAGAAAGATAATATGGAAGGACAATTTTGAAATATGAATTTGGATATATTATAAAGGAAATTGGAAAAAGGAAATAAACAAAAATGTAAGCTGTAAATATTTGGGTAGGTTGTTCCAAAATTGCTAATACGAATTAACGGTAAAGTTTACACTATATAGAGAGAATGAACTTGTTTGTTACAATCCGGGATTGGGTCTAGTTCACGTTCATCCTGGTGAAGTCATTAAGTTTGTTAATACCATTAGGGCGGAATGACTTCAGCCTGTGCATCCAGAACTTTTCCTTGCCTTTTCTCTGCGCGTCTGTCCATCTTGGATTATGGTCAATAAGCACTACTGTCATGTCCTCCCATTTGTGACCTTCAAGGTTGAAATGATCCCCAACGGGTTCATTGAGTTTTTTGGTCCTAATGGTAGAACGGTGATTATTGACTCTCCTGCGGAGATCTCCTGTTTCACCAACATAGTGAACATACTGTTTGGAGCAAACTTTGCAACTGATGAGATAAATGCAGTTGTCTGTTTGACAGGACAAATTCCCACCATCTTATGCCAATATTTTCATGGGCAGACTGGAACGCAACTTGCTACTTCAAGCACCATTTAGGCCCCTTAGCTGGTTGCGTTTCGTTGACGATATAGAGATGAAGTGGGTGGAATGTCGCGAGAGCCTCGAGGCATTCATTTCGTTTGCCAACACCTTTCATCAGTCCATCAAATTTACAGTAGACGTATCTAATTCGAAAAACATATTCCTAGATACTACATCTACCCTGACTGATGGTGAAATCGAGTTCAGTCTCCACACGAAACCCACAGATTCCCATCTGTATCTTATGCCAACTGGCTGTCATCCCCCACACACACTTAAGGGTGTGCCTAAGAGTCTAGCCACCAGAATTCGGCGCATCTGTTCATCCCCTGCCTTATATCAGGAACAAAGCGGTCTCCTCAAGTCCCACTTATGCAAGAGAGGTTACAATGCCCGCACCGTACAAACTGCTATTGATGAGATGGTGGGACATGACAGGCAAAACCTATTACGCTACAAGGAAAAAGACAATAGCGGCAGGGTCCCTCTGGTAACCACATACCATCCCGTCCTTAAGAACCTCAGCGGTATCCTTCAAAAGAATCTGCCAATTCTTTAAGGAGCCCCCATTGGCTGCATACAGACGCCCGGGGAACCTAAAGGACATGGTAGTAAGAACCAGATTGGACAATCCATTACCTAACGGGGGCTTTAAAACTTGCTGTGACTGAAGATGTCTTCTCTGTAAGCACAGCTCTGACACAGACAGCTTTAACAGCCCCGTTACAGGCCGCAGCTACAGAATACTAGGGAATTTGTCCTGTCAAACAGACAACTGCATTCATCTCACCAGTTGCAAAGTTTGATCCAAACAGTATGTTGGTGAAACAGGAGATCTCCGCAGGAGAGTCAATAATCACCGTTCTACCATTAGGATCAAAAAACTCAATGAACCCGTTGGGGATCATTTCAACCTTGAAGGTCACAAATGGGAGGACATGACAGTAGTGCTTATTGACCATAATCCAAGATGGACAGACGCGCAGAGAAAAGGCAAGGAAAAGTTCTGGATGCACAGGCTGAAGTCATTCCGCCCTAATGGTATTAACAAACTTAATGACTTCACCAGGATGAACGTGAACTAGACCCAATCCCGGATTGTAACAAACAAGTTCATTCTCTCTATATAGTGTAAACTTTACCGTTAATTCGCATTAGCAATTCTGGAACAACCTACCCAAATATTTACAGCTTACTTTTTTGTTTATTTCTTTTGTCAGATTTCCAAATTTATAATATATCCAAATTCATATTTTAAAATTGCCCTTCCATATTATCTTTAATTTCTTTTTATCATGTATAGTTACGCTATTTTGAGAGAATAAGACAATGTACGATTTACTGCTTGGTCGTAATTAATTAGCGATAATTGATTAGTTCAATTATGGAAATCGCACTTCACCAGAGTACACCCGACAGACCGGACGCAATTCATAGCGCTCCGGATTTCTTTGTTCACAACTGTTTATAAACTTCAAATTAAACATGTAATACTGTAAATATTTAGTTTTTGGTAGTTTAGTAGTAGTGCTAGTTGTTTTTGTTTCTCTATTTCCTTTGTTTTTATGACTTCTTAACTTTTTTCTTTGTCCTGAGGAAGGGACAGGTCGTCCCGAAAATTTGACAATTATTATTGTTCGTGTCGTTGGTCATTTTTAGTGCTTTATATATATAGATAGATAGATAGATAGATAGATAGATAGATAGATAGATAGATAGATAGATATAGAAAGAGAGAGAGATAGTTTCGTCGTTCCTGCAGCAAAGGTTTATTGTACTCATTCCTGAATCTTTGACTCCCATAAATTAACGAAAACAGCTAATGAAATTTCATGCACGATCAGTTCAATGGATTTCGCCCAGTAATTTTAAGAACGAGTCTCCATATTATAAAGCTAGTTAGTTCAGGTGAATGTACCATCACTCATAAATATCAATAAAATTATTCAGGCGGAAATCACCACTAATACTTACGTGTTTAGAAACAAGAAACACGACTTTTTACTTCCATAGATTTAATTAATATGGTATAAAACTTGAAAAGGATTTTATAATCATTCTAACAATTTACCCGAAAATAATGGGGTTTTTATAACACGCTATGTAAATAAAAGCTCTTCCTAATAATGCCTGAGAGAGCTTTTTGTTCCTGCGGATATTTACTCAGAACTTGTTCGCATATCAGAAAAGTAAGGATTCTAAGTCAGAGAACAGTGTTATATCATACGACAGAAAATTAATAAGCTATAATATAGATGGAACCCGTAAAATGATCAGGCTTGTGTTGAATTTCTATTGAAAAAATGTCCCATGTGAAGTGTAATGAACAGGATTAACAAAATTATGTATAAATGAAGATATTTCGGTTAACATTGATTTTTTTTTTTTTACTTTGGATAGATTGTTACAGACGTGAAATGTTTTTGTGAAAATGACAGAATTTGCTCTGTTGTTTGCTTTGGTCTTTTTTTACGGCACTCGAATCCAAGGTAAGACATAACGTTTTCTTCGCAAAAATAAAGAAAAATAAAATATTGATTGATCGGCAAATACAACCTCGAAAAAAGTAAGAAAAATGACAGGGACCGCATGCATGGACATAATGGTGAACTCAAGTTTGACGGCTACTGTTCGGAGAGGCCTACTTTAGCCTCGGATATAATATGAAAAATATATTTTTCTTTATGTGCACTCTCACACTGTCTTGTCTGTCACACTGAATCTTAATATTGTAGATCACTATATTTTTGCGACAACTTATTTTTGCGAGATATATATAGCTATTTGCTCGTTATAATACAAATACGAACTCTCTCGTGTAATTACGCAAAAATAAAGTTCTCGCGAATAAAAACTGATTTACAGTACAAATATGCATAATTTGGCAATGATTTGAAAAAAAGACGTGTTGGTGTCAATTTCGGTGACGTCAAATGACGTTTTGTTAAATTGCAAAACGTTGGACTATTTATTTGACGTGACTTTAACTTTTATAGCTCATTCCGCGAAAGATCAAATGGAATCACCTCCTTGGAAAATTGATTGACAGTTTCCATATTTCAAAAAATGAGTGGTTAGATAGTCAGTTGCAACACTCCAAAATATGGGCCCTTGTAGGATAATATGAAGCGGTCACCCGGCCATCCAGGCTCACCGCAGCTTAACTTGTCTGAAATCAAGGGAGACTAGAAAAGCTAGCTGACTAGCGGGCAGTATATAAGTTCTCTATATACTGTCCGCAACACCACATTGTTTTATTCCATCCTTGAGTCCTAAAAAGCTGTATCAGGGAACTTTTAATAAACTTACTCATTTTGTCGCTTCTAATTACTATAAGTAATATATTTTAGCAAAACTTTGATTTCCGCGCATTAATTCTATGACCCTGCAGTTACTACCCTTTACATTCTCATGAAAATTTAGACAGTTGTATGTACATGTACTTATTTATTCTCTACAATTTCAGGGATGAACTCGGCGATATGTAGTGGCATTTTCCGCCCCCTGACGGGTCTCCATGACTACTGTTATTGGATGCTAACGGATATGCAGAGCAGCGAGCAGAGTAATGAATCATGTGGTCAAGATGGCGGTACGCTGGCGTGGGTAAATAGTCCAGAGGCGCAGGCATTTGTGGAGAAAACTTTTAACCAAACCTTGTACACGTACGTACAATGATTGTGTATGGTAGCTGGTACAGAATATAGTACAGAACCCCCCCCCCCCTTTCCTCTTCCCTCGACCAAAGAGAGATATAAATTTAAGCTCTCTGAGAGTCTGTCTACAACTTTTAAAAACCTTGAACATAACTTTTATAAGTTAAGATGGAGAATATATTTAATCAGATGATAACTTTTGACTAGTTATTACTTTAAACAAAAGTCACTGGAACAAACACACATGAATTGAAATCTATAAGTTCGTTGTAATGAACAAACACTAGACTAGGGTAACGAATAGGGTATCCCTATGTCTATTAAACATGATCTTGGCCACAGACATTTAGCTGGAAGAGTAAAAATCTAAGTTTACACAAGTCACAGGAGCCGGTAACATTCTTTGTTTGATTTTATGTATTCTTTATTTGTATATACATCGTGTATATATAGTGATTATATGGAATCAAACAAAGTATGTGACTGACCCCTGTGACACAAGTAAGTCACGATCGGGGATTTTCTGCAGCGCATGTATATGAAATTAAGCGAACGATTATTTCTTTATTAATTTTCTAGTGTCTCACTGCTGTAATATATTTATTTTTCATCAATTAATAAATCAAAGAAATCAATTATAGTGAAGGAAGAGTTCCAAGGGCGTTAAAGGTCACCTTATTTTTTTTATCCAATCAAATGACGCGTTACAACCAGAATTAAATTATTACAAAATAAACTGAAAGATGGTGATAATTGTTCAAAACAAGAAAAATAGAATGATCAGGGATTAACAAAATAGTTAGTCTAGTACTCAGTATCGAATCTTAAAGTAGATTTTTATACTTGCTTGCACTTGCCAGTGCCAATACACTCCCATTTGTAACTATTACCGTGCATATTAAACATAACAATAGTGATCGTGTACATATAGTACACCTATCCCATCCCCTGTACCTGACCAATAAAAACAATGTAAGTACTTTTGGTAATATACATTAAAAATTCTTGAATAATTCTTTAATTCAATTGGCCTATCAATTACATAACTTATAGTAATTAATTATCATAGGTGAATAGCAGAAGTTCATAAATTCTATCAGTAACTTACAAAAGATGATTGCACTTAACGTCGGGTTTTAGGTATTTTTCGGTCGCTTATTTTGCTTTTATATGGAATATGGAGATCTTAACCTAATTTCACTTTTGTTTATTTATTAAAGAATTTTGTCAATTTGAAACCAAATTTAATTGTTAAAATGATTTTAGACTGTGATATTTTATAAATACTGCTTGTAGGTGAGGGTAACACTGAAATTTTCACCCAAAGAAAACCATTGTCAACCGAGACACAGCTTAGGTTGACAATGGTTTTCGAGGAGTGAACATTTTCAATGTTACCTCCAACTACATGCAGTATTTATTATAAATTACTGAATGTTTTATACAAATAAAGATGAAGCGCTCATAGATTCCGTGCAGTCATTTTTTTTTTGGGGGGGGGTATCACCTGTCGTCAAGCAATATTGACGGTCCTATCGCGCCTGAGGGCGTGGTTTCATCATTCAGAGTGTATAGTGTTTTATAAAAAATGTTTCTGGGCGAATCAAATTCAAATAAAGTTCATGAAAGAATAATATTTACAAAGATTTTTAAAACGAAATTAACAATAAGGCCACGTCCATGTAAGTACAGATTTTAAATCAATGCCCGACAATTTAATTCGAACACAATGTCCTAGTTAGCACAAAGCATGCTACCTAACAAGTCATGCAACTGAATTTAGTATTCACAAAGTTATCCTAAGTACAAAAAAAATCACGTGGTGAATTATAATATTCAACATGTCATAATCTTAAGTGATAACAGAGAGAGAGAGAGAGAGAGAGAGAGAGAGAGAGAGAGCGCATGTAAGAAGAAGCAGTTTCTCTTTTAAACCATGAGCGCATGTTTGTCTATTAACCTCCTTTTGACACAACATTATTAATGCAATATACAACTACTGTTAAACGGAGAACAATAGACAAACATGCGCTGACTATGTATAAAGTCAGTAAAAAAAAGTGGGCGTCTTCATTATCGTATGGAGATTGAAGAAATCGTGATGGCCCCTGTCTATGAACACAGATTGTTCTTCGTAACGGTAAATACATATTTTTATTTAATTTAATTACGTTAAGTTGTACATTGGATGTTGACCATTCCTGCAACTAAAGGAAAAATGCTCATTTCGAAAGTTTATTTTGTCAAACTTTCCCTAAAAAATCAATAGAGCCCTGTACCAGAAAACTTGACACAGTGGTCCAAAATTTTGAAGAAAACATGACAATACACACACAATTACAGTTTTGGATCTCTTTTTTTTTTGCCATGACAACCGAGACGCCATTTTACTCTGCATAATAAAAAATTTTAAAACATCTTATCTTTCAGAATATACATGGGTTCCTTTTCAGCTAACCTGAGTCGAAGGCTCAAGTGAGCTTTTCTGATCAAAGAGTGTCCGGCGTCCGTCTGTCGTCCGTCGTCTGTAAACTTTTCACATTTTCGACTTCTTCTCAAGAACCACTGGGCCAATTTCAACCAAACTTGCCACAAAGCATCCTTGGGTAAAGGGGATTTAAGTTTGTTCATAGGAAGTACCACGCCCTCTTTCAAGGGGAGATAATTAAGAATCGGGAAAATTTGGTGGCAGCTTCATTACATACTCTAGATAATAGATTCAAGTTTGTTCATATCATAACCCCCGGGAATAGGGCGGACCCACAAGAGGGGTCGAAGTTTTATATAGGAATATTAAAAATCATCTTTTCTCGAGAACAGCAGAGCCATGATTATAGTCATATTATAATTGAAGTATCCTCAGATAGTGTAGATCAAGTTTGTTCCAATTATGACCCCTGGGTGTAGGTCAGGGCCACAACAGGGGTTAAAAGTTTACCATAGGAATATATAGGAAATATCTTTAAAAATCTTCTTCTCAAGAACACGTAAGCCATTATTAGTCATATTAATACAGAAGTATCCAGGTAGTGTAGATTCAAGTTTGTTTGAATCATTACCCCTGGCGGTAGGGCTGGGCCACAACAATAGGTCAAGGTTTTACATAGGAATATATAGGTGTATTGGTTAAGGGGCACTTGATTAAAACGCATTGAAGACTTCAAATAGTGAAATGTCCTGACAACCCTTGGAATGGACTAGCCTAAGGGTATATAGGGCAAAGCTTTAGGAAAGTCAGGCATTCAGAAGGTAGCTGTAGAAGTTGGATGTTGAATCAGCAATAAACAAGTTAAGGTATTCCCAGTCTGATTAAAACCAGCCCCTTCTTTCACTCGTCAGGTGACGAGTGAAAGGAGAAGGGAGCTGGTTTTAATCATTTAGAACATTGTTTTAATCATTTAAAAAATTGTTCGAGAAATTGGTCCCGAAATTGCCAAAGAAGAAAGAACCAAAGGGAAGAGTTGATCTGAAAGCTAAAAAGGAAAAAAAAAAGAATATCAAAATAGTGTTGATGATTTTTTTAATGGACGTTGTAAATTTCTAATACAAACACTGACAATATTATGCAAGAACAATTTTCACACTTGCATTGCGTCTTCACTACCCGCCATTTTTTTTCACCTGTTACTCCAGGTAAACTGAATTGTACCATAGTTCTTTTGCTAAAATATGGGTTATCTGTCCATGTGCAAGCATACTCGCGTAACACGGGTTGGCCGCTCGTGTCGAACATGTCCTATTTTATTTACAACTCCAGTAACTTGTGTAACTCGTGCCGCTAATCGAATACACTCCTGGTGTAAGAAATCACGTAGTAAATTATAATCTTCAACATGTCACAACCCTTGGTTACAACAGAGAGAGCGAATGTAAGAAAAAGCAGTTTTTTCTCTTTTTAACCATGGGAGCATGTTTGTCTATTAACCTCCTTTTGATACAGCATTATTTATGCGAATATACAACTACTGTTAAACGTAGAGCAGTAGACAAACATGCGCTGAATGTATCAGTCATTCTACAAAAACATGACCAATCAAGAATTTTTTATGTCGCTTTCAAATTTACCGTTGTAATATCTAAACTATAAATTTAAAGATCGATTTCAACTCTTAGACTTAACATACACACCCTGTTTTGTAAATATTTACCGATATATATGCAGTTACAGTTTTGATATGAACCTAATGTAATGTTGAAAAACGTATTCCACTGCAAATCTCAATGTCGCTTCATTTATTTACAAATTTCAAGATGAAATTTTCAGTAGTGAAAGCGTTCCGAATAGATTGTAATGAATGTTAAAAAAAGTTTCTTATCAAATATAAAAAGAAATCAAACCACTTTTCGCCAAGAAATGTATGGATCTTCTTTCATTGTGAAATTATAGCATGTCGCTAAAAATCGATTAACACAAAATGAATAAGACAAAAACAGTTGCCTCTCTTAAAAATTTAACTTCCGTAACGGTAATTCGGGAAAGTTTTTGCATTAAAGGTATAAAGATTTTTATTATTTTGGGAGCGAAATGTTTCATACTTTTGTTTAATATCCTAAAACAAACTTTAATTTTAACTATTACCGAGAATTTGAACTTTTATTGCTGGGAATTAACTTCCGTAACGATTAACTTCCGTAATGATATTTTTCCCGAAATTTTAACTTAATTTCGGATTCATGCGAGACTTCATGAATCATACTTTAGCCTTCTATACTGAATATCAGAAACGAAAAATTGGTCAAATTCAGCTTTATTTAAAAAATAATAAGACTTGTCCAAGCATTAACTTCCGTAACATTACCTTAAAATCAATGGTATATTAAAATTGTTGTAAAAAGTTAACGATACCAGATATGCATGTGGACAATTCTTTTTTTTTCCCAAGTTCACTGATATGTCCTTTAGAGAATTATGGTGTTCATTTTGCTATTTGAAACAATTATTTTTTTTCATGTTTTATACCCTGAATTGGTCCATTTATCGTAGAATGACTGTGTATGAAGTCAGTAAAAAAGTGGACGTCCTCATTATCGAACGGAGATTCAAGATGAAAACAGATTCGAACTTCGTAAATACACACTTTTATTTAATGTAATTACATAAAGTTGTAGATTGGATGTTGACCATTCTTGCAATTAACAGAAAAATGCTTGTTTTGAAAGTTTATTTTGTCGCAAATTTCGCATGTCCTTAAGGGCAGTGCTTCTAATACTGAAGATAGTGCATACCAGAAGAATAGCTGCAGATCTCTAGCTCGCCGGTCTGAAAGAATTGGAAGGACAACCAGAGAGCTACAGTGCCACCCGCTGAAAAAAGTGTATATTTATTGCGCACAAAAAAGTGCGCTGTTTCTCGATTTATTTCCCCGTATTTTAAATTGCAATCTAAAAATATTATTAACATCGTGTGTTCCTAACATATTCCTTCACCATTTCCACATCACATCGTCTCAAGCCACGGTCCAGAGTCCGCATATATAGCTTTCTCCAGAATGGGAGAGGATCGTACATTTTGGTCGTGGTTTGCGACGATGTCCACATCAAAACATTTCCTATAACCGTTGCGAATTCCTTCGTGGGCCTGAAAATTAGACCATTCAAAATTTTTCTTATTAGTCCCCTACCGGTGAAACCGAAGGGGACTATAGGTTTCCTCTGAGTCTGTCCGTCCGTCTGTCTGTCTGTCTGTCAGTCTGTCCCACTTGGTTTTCCGCACTTTTCTCCTAAACGCTTGCAGATATTGAGCTGATTTTTGGTTTGCGAGTGTATCTTGATAATTTACAGGTCAAGTTTGCATTTCGTTCCGCTTCATTGATTTTTAACGGAATTACGGCCTTTTCAATTTTTAAGGGTTTTCCGCAATTTTCTTCTAAACGCTTTCAGATATTGACTGATTTTGGTATGTGACTTTACCTTGATTAGTTATAGATCAGGTTTGCATTTCGTCCGGCTTCATTGATTTTTGACGGAATTATGGCATTTTCAATTCTTAACGGGAACCAGATTACACTTGCCGGTAGGGGACTAGTATTGCTAATGCAATACTCTCAGAATGCTTGTTTATATTGCCATTCTGGAGGACAAGACAATTTGGTCCAACGCACTTTGTTCAGATGTCATCTTCAATAATTGATAGAGGTCTAAGGAATTTTTTGAAATTGAGCTTTTGTACAGTCGAGGCAAGAATCTTGAGAAATAAATTCAGAACCGAGCGCAACTCTTTTTGCGTAATAAATATTAGTGTTGTCAAATCGGACGATTTTTAGTAAACGGGTACTTGCTCACTTTTCCGATCGAGTAACCGGTTACTCGGATGGTTTTGCTTAAGACCTCAAAACACCCTTTTTGCAGTATAAATGCTCAACAGTAATTGAAATACATTTTGTATTTGTAACGTCGTCACAATTTCTATATTTATCTCATCATTTTTATACCGGTATATATAAAACACAAATGCATTGCTTATGCAACTTTATTCTTAATTACAAACAAAAGTATTTTTTTGTCGAATATCCCGTAATAGTTTGCTATTTTGCGGGATGTCCTTTATAAAACATCGCTTGATTCAGAGTAAAATTTCAATCTAAGGTGGTTTAGCATATTTTTGGTCCCACCCGTGTATGTTTATTCCATTTCAATACATCCAAATATTTTACAACGTAGGGATTTAATTTCTTTTAAAAGATTTGGGTGCATTTGGCGGCGTCTTCTTTAATCTTGTATACTGCAGACTAACACAGATTTATAAGAGATAATTATAATTATGATCTCAAGCCTTCAAAACTTGTAAATCCCTCGGCAATCAAGCCTCCAATTAGATAATTTGTGAAATACTTATCAAAACAACTCGGTCGTATTTGTAAAAAGCTAGGTCGAGTCTATCGTTAAATACCGGTAAATTAATTATAGAAATTTATGAACAAAATTTCATTTTTTCCTGCAGATTTTACCATGTTAAAATACAAATTTTATATATCCGAGTAACCGAGTAGCAGTTTCACTAACCGATACTCGCATCGTTCGATGGTTAACCGGGTACTCGTTGACAACACTAATAAATATACATTTTTTTTTATTGGTGGCACTGTAGCTCTCCGGTCTGTGAATATTTTTTCGGAGAGCTACAGATCTGGGGCCCATTTTACAAAAGAACTTACGACAAAGACCAAAAACTTTAGATGATTGTAAAATCTTGCACAATCATTGATTATATTACAAATTGCCTGTATAAATATATCTTTATAAATTCCTTTTTTAAAAGATTTAAACCATTTCCGTATTAACGTAAAGAAGAAAGTTATTCGTAAAATTATATTCTGGTCTTAGTTCATAAGTTCTTTTGTAAAACGGGATTCTGTAGCTTACTAGAAGTGAACTCTCACGCACCTGTTTTGTCACTTTTCCTACTCGCTGCTTCTTACAGGGCGACTTTGGCCACCCTTTACATCGGTGTCCAGGGTCCTGACGTTAGTGGGGACTATCATGTGTACAATGGGGAGAAACAGTACTACTTTAATTGGGATGCTTCCGTGTATACGCCACCCGGTCGACCAGACTGGAATTGTGTCATGCTTTACTATGACGTCAATAGTGCTATCTACTTTAAATGGCGGGAAACGAGATGCATTCTTCCTAAACAAGCACTCTGTTCAAGGACGATACAACGAGGTAAGAGAAACTACTTACAACATACAGACCAAGGGGAATTCTTTTTGTTCGAGTTGTTTGTCTTGTAGAAGGTTGTTTCAGGATTTATTTTTCAAAATTTACCAAAAGGTTGGGGTTCAATGACAAAACGTGAGTTCTGGGCAGTACGACCAAGAATTTTTAGAATTGCTTAAGATAATGAGCACATCAGAGAAATTTTGAAACAGAGAAAAAATGAGAATATCATCTTTCCTCAAAGAGAAATCCATTTAAAAATTCTACTATATAGTTAAATACACAGTATGCAGCTCACAGGCACTTGGGGACTGGACCTCCCCTCCCCTTTTTTTTCTTCTTAATAAATCCATAAAATTTACCTTAGATGTCAGTTATTTAATCAAAATATTTACAAATCGGTGGTACTTAACAATCAAATGGAAATATGAAAAGGAAGAAGAATGTGGAACAAATATATTGATGTATGCATATTCCATGTTTTGTTATGCTTTTGATAAATAATCGGTCACGCTAAGTTTAAGCGAGGTGAGGCGGATGACGAGAAAAGAGTTGCAAGCCTTCTCTCTTTTTATGTTTCAGTCGAAAATGAGATATTTGAGAACAGGTTATTGAGACAAAGGATTACATTATCGATAAAATATCGTGCATATTAGAATTTTTAAAAAAAGTAGGATAAAGGTGTGTCAATCCCAGATTTAAAAAGAAAAAATGGGAAAGGGGGGGGGGGCAGCCCCCAAATGCCTGTAATGCAGCTCAATTGAAAAAATATTTAGTTTATAGCAAGTTAAAACTCCTTTCCGTTTATAGGACATGAAGGATTATTTCTGTATTGAAAAGGGATGACTAGCAAAGATAATAGAAGAGGCCCATGGGCCATAAGGTTCACAAGAGTAATTATGGCCCTTCTGTTCTTTTTCCCAATATATTCCTATACAAAATTAAGAAAATATATTGTGACCCCATCCTAACCCTATCCCCAGGTGTCATGCTTTGAACATACTTGAATCTGAGGATGCTTTCATACATATATAAGACTAATCATGGTTTTGCTGTTCTGAAAAGGAAGACTTAAGGTATCCGACCCATATTAGGACCTAATTTTCTAACCTTAAATATCCATCCTGTATTAAATACTTTGATATTAATTCAAAGTATTTTAGAGTAGTAAAGGATTTACCAAGAGAAATTTTCAAATATATAATTACCTACGCAGTAATTAATTAATGACGATTGCATTGATGTCTATGGGGACAAGCAAATTTTTGAAAATAAAAATTTAAATACTAAAAATATCAAAAATTGCTGTGGTGGAAAGACGTATTTAATTATAAGGAATAGAAAAACGATGGAAAACTAAAGTTTTACCAGATAGATTTTTTTTATAATTGATTTTTATTGATTAAAAGCAAAGGGGGATAACTCTTCAAGGACAGGACAAGGTCAAAAATTAGGACACATTCCGCTCTTACATATTGATACTAAAACATGAAGATTATGTCTACATATACTGAGTATTCAGCCAATATATATCTGTTATACATTCAGATTCACTGAATCTGAGGCTATTATGGGTCGGATACCTTAAAAAGATTTTTCTTATTTATTCTTATGCAAAATTTCGATTGGCCATGTGGCCCACCCTATCTCTGGAGGAAATGATTTGAACACATTTGAATCTACCCGAAAAAAAAAATTGTAAAGATTTTCCCCATGTATTTCTATGAAAAACGTTGATCACCCATAGTGGCCCCACCCTACCTCTGGGGTCATGATTTGAACAAACTTGAATCGACACTACCTGAGGATGCTTCCATAAAAACACGATTAATCGTGGTACTGCTGTTCTTGAAAAAAAGAATTTTAAAGATTTTTCCTATATATTCCTAGATGTAATCTTTGATCGCCCAAAGTTGCCCCAACCTACCCCCGGGAGTCATGAACAAATTTGAATCTACACTACCTGGGGATGCTTCCATATAAATATCACAAATCATGGCTTTGCTGTTCTTGAAAAGAAGAATTTTAAAGATTTTTCCTATGCATTTCTATGTAAAACTTTGATCGCCAATAGTGGCCACACCCTACCACCGGGCGTCATGATAAACTTGAATCTACACTACATGAGGATGCTTCCATATAAATATGACTCATCAAGGCTTTGTTGTTCTTGAGAAGAAGAATTAAAACAATTCCTATGTATTCCTATGTAAAACTTTGATCGCCCATAGTGTCCCCATCCTTCCCCTTGGGGTAATGATTTGAACAAGCTTGAATCTACACTACCCCCAAAAAGCTTTCACAGTAGTTTTATCTATTTCTGGTCCCGTGGTTCTTGAGAAGATTTTTAAATTACCCCACCAGATTTTCACTACTAGTATTTCTTAATTCTCTGTTCTTGGAAGAGGGTGTACCTTCATTTGAACAAACTTGAATCCCCTATACCCAAGGATACTCTTTGCTAGGTTTGGTTGAAATTGGCCCAGCGGATCTGGAGAAGAAGATAGAAATGTGAAAAGTTTACAACGACAACAAGTCAACGACGACGACAGACAACGGACATATTTCGATCAGAAAAGTTCACTTGAGCCTTCGGCTCCGGTAATCTTAAAAAAAAGAGCACTGCTATTTTGTAGCACTGGAAGATACAGAGGGGTGGATTTGGGGTTCTTTTAGCGAAGTAAAATTTATTTCTAAGAAATCTGACGTCATTTTTTTAAACCTGAGAACTGCAGGATAGTTCCCGAAATCCTCTTATAAACGCTAGCGAGGAGTGAGGAGGACTTTTTTTTTTTTAAATATCTGCCACCGGCATCCTTCTATCGAAAGTTCCTGGATCTGACCAGCGTCTGACTATTCATTTCGATAGTGTGGGTTCAAAAAATTTAATAAAATTAATTTCATAATATAAAACATTTTTGCTAATGCACCCAATGGAATTCCAACAACTAAGTCTCCAAAGACTACTGATATTGTGAATGAGGAACTCAGAGTATTTGTGTATATGATCAGACGGTTTTAATAAAGTAAATTTTCTAAGAAATGGTACCATTATAATCTTGCATCTGAATATAGAATCTTTTTTTTAACTATAGGACTTAATTCAAATGTATTTGTTTTCTCATTCAAATGTTCACAGAATATCTGTCCTCCTACTTTGACAAAGCCTACATTGGTAAGACTTTTTCTGGACACGAAGTTGTTGTACTGGAAAATTTAAGCTTCATACGCTGCGCCTTTGCTTGTCAGATGAACATCAGATGTAGATCTATTAATCATGACGTCACGAACAGACGCTGCACTATTAATGGCGAAACAGCCGAGAGCTATCCCTCTCAACTGACTGCTGCTCCTAACGTCAACTATTATACTGTATTTATATAAGCATGTCGCTTTCTAAATATATGTTTCTATATGTATCTTCAAAATAAAGTTTACGCCTTATTTAGAGAAGTCCTTTTACAAATAGAAAACTGTGGCGAAAAAATGATTGACAAAACATTAATTCATACATAAAAATATGCACAAAACAGTTTATGATGTGTTTGAGAGTGTTCATCCCGTGATGCATCACCCATGCAAGTTTGGTTCAGATAGCCCTTATAGTTTATTTTAACCTGGTCACTCATCCGGAAAATGTAGGTCAGATACAGCATCCGAAGCAAGCCTGGTAGTGTGCATCTTTAGATGTATCATCCATGAAAGTTTGGTCAACATAGGGCTTAAAGTGACTTGGAAATGAGACCTGCTCCAAAAACTTTAACCTGGTCACTCATCCGGAAAATGTAGGTCATGCAGATACAGCATCCGAAGCAAGTCCAGTAGTGTACATCCTTAGATGTATCATCCATGCAAGTTTGGTCAACATAGGGCATATAGTTACTTTGAAATGAGACCTGCTCCAAAAATTTTAACCTGCTCCATGAACTCTAACCTGCTCCAAAAACATTAACCTTGTCATTCTTCAGCTGAAATTGCAGCATCTGAAACCTTGACTGGTACAATGAAACATACTAGAAGCATCCTCCATGCATCTCTTATTAATATAGGGCATAGAAGTACTTGAAAAGAAATCTGCTCAAAAAACTTAAACCTGAGACGCCGACGCCGAGGATATAACATAAGCTCCCCGAACTTAGTTGAGGTGAGCTAAAAAGCGGTCATTTATTTCTAAAACTTGAGGTGAGCTAAAAAGCGGTCACTTATTTCTAAAAATTTCGAAATTTTTTAAAACTTTTAAGGAGTATTTACTCTCTGCTTTCAAAAACAATATTACACCGCTGGGATGTAGGGGACATAATTATGCTTCGGCTTAATTGCACAAGCAGTGTTTGTTGTATTGTTGTGTTTATGGTTTTGGCTTTTTTCCCTTTGAAGAACTACTCGATTTGAATACGCACAAAATGGCATGTGAAACCTACCAATAACATAAATTTTAGAATTTTCTCAAAACTCTTTGTAAAAAGGATGGATCCATAGATGAATTACTGGGCCTTTAAACAAAACAAGAATAAAAAATTTTTATTCTTGTTTTGTTTAAATCCCTAATAAAAACCAATTTCTCCGAAACCTACGCGAGCGGGTGACGTTGAACATAGGATTAACTTCTGACAGCATAATCAGGTAGAACAAAAGGAGTACTAAGTATTGCATATGCAGTACTTGTCCCCTACTGACACGTGTAGTCTAGTTCCCTTTGATAATTAAGACTCTATAGTTAAGCCCAAAGGCCGAAATTCCGTCAAATACCAATCATCGAAGCGGAATGAAATGCAATTCTGATCTTGACAATCAGAAGGGAAACCCATAGTGATAGGGGACTACAAAAACAAAGTTTAATATAATTTATTAAGCATTCACATTCATAAATATGACCTGTAACATTAATCAGAATACAAGAGTTTCTTTCCTGTCAAAATAAATTCATATTACAATTGATAATAGATAAAATACTCCCATAAGTATACAAAAAGATTTCCCCCTAAGATTACTTTACTTAATACATGGCGCTTCTAATAAAAATGTACTTAAATAATCCTATACTTGTTGCGTTGAGTAACTATGCACCAATGTAAACGTCACTATTTCAGCATCTCGGCATACAAAAATCATAAACCAATAAAAAAAATGAATTAACAACAATGACCATGTGATATATCACTTGTTTGTTACGGCTGATGTGATTGGCTGCAGCTTTAATCCCTGTCAAGGAACTTTGTGACCTCGCCTTGGTAACATGGCATCATCTTTTTGGAATTGGCCTTTAAAACGGGAAAAAAGTGTTTAATTGAAATGTTATGAAATGCTCTACAGGAAGCTGTATTATAGCATGGATGAGACTACATAGCCGTATATATTACAAAGGAAAAAACACGGACTACTTTTTTAAAACCATGTATGATCATAACAAATTAACGTACGAATATTTTGAGTTTGTCCTGCTTTAAAATACACATGTGTGCTTGCTAACCAAACTATATTTTTTTTAAACAGAAAGTCCAAGACAGACTTGACATGCAGTAATTAGAACACCATCCTGACTCTAGTTTCGGAAATTGTTACATTGTACTTACTACAAAGCCCAGACTGTGGATACAATTGATGACGTTAAGGAACGGGCCTTTTCTCACTTCCCACAAATCTCCACTCTGGAATTCAAATTCTTTAGCAAGCCCATAGTCCAGACACCCTTTGTTAAAGTTTTCGATATTTGTCATGGCTACGAAAGGTGACATCACTTTTTTCTGGAATTGTACAGGGGGTTTTCCTTCTTTTTGTAAAAGCTTGTTAATGAGCCTAAAAAGGAATATTCGAATATTCGGAATTAAAATCCATAATCTCTACAGGATCGGATTAATTTGATATCTTTATCATTCATTTCGGTGAATTGAATGCGTTTATCAGTCATGGATAACGTCAAATGAGATATCAAAACTTTATGCCGAAGCAAGAATTAATCAGATATTAAGCATACGAAGAGTTAGTTTTTCAAATGGAGACAATTCAAGGTACATGCATGTGGGATAAGGCTATGCTACAACGGTTCCTCTAGTTTCAGAAATTGTTTTTGGATGTGTGAATAACTAATTCTGGTTTGATTGCTGATGCAAAGCTAGGGGGTGCTTCATTCATCTTTCTTAGTCACAGGCCATATCAAAAATAACATTGTGTATTGCATAAAGAATTAAATGATGTCATTTAAATGCTGCTGTAAGAAGACAACAATTTTTGGCAAATACTTTTCACGGTTATCTTCAATATGCCAGCTGATTTAATAAAGATAGTTGTTTAAAATATATATGCATTGTCACAACGCACTTTGAAATTTTTTTTTACAAAGTGCGTTAAATTTGGGACCAAGTTTACGCACTTTGAAAAAAATATTCCATTTCAAAGTGCGTTAGAATCGACCATATTAACACACTTTGAAAAAAAAATGTGCACGGGTTGGTCAATATTCTTGCAAATGTTAGTATGATAAATATTCAGTTATTTAACCTAGTTGGATAACTTTCGGTAATGATGTCACCTCAGGATCTGAGATAAAGAAGTTTTAAGGATTTTTAGTGGTTGTCTTGTTCCCAAAAGGTTCTCGTAAATGTTATAAAAGGGAAATGGGTCTTTTAGAAATATTGGAGGAATGGTTGTTTAATAGCAGAATTTCGTTTCCTTTTTTATTTTATCCAGTCTTTAATAAGTTCGGTGGATGTAGGGGTCGATAAATGACTTATTTAAAAGCACAGCATTTTTCGTAGGGAAAAGGGGGAAATTATGATTTTTCCATTGAAAATAATTTTCCCGCACAATATGATGGTCTTTTTACAGTTATTTAATAAGTATTTAGAAGTATGAAAAAAATGTTTATTCCCTCACAATATGATGGTCTTTTTTCTTTTCTTTTCTTTTCTTTTTTTTTTTTTTGTAAAGAGGTATGAATAAATTATTTATGCATTTTATACATTTTTTTTATTTGTATTGTATTTGATTTTGTAAAGCTACTTTGGCCAAAGTATAGTCAGTTGGCTATTGTTGCTTAGATCAGTGATATAGCCCCTGAGCCTCTCTTCTTAAATATAATAGGGCGCGTTATTTTTTTTATTTTTTTTCAAGAAAGCTTATCTCATTTTTTTTTTCATCTATTTTGTGTTAACTCAAATTTATTGAGAGAAAGTATATCAATGTCATACCAGTTATGTAAATAATTTTTTTTGGGCAGGAAAGATGAAGAGCTGGACTGAGGGACCTTCTACCTGTTTTCTCCTCGAAAGAAATACAACAAAATAAAGCTGTCTATTACTAAGATCTAAGTCCAGATTTTTTAATACATATCTTTAAGTGCGTTAAGTGTCTCCATGGTAAAAAAAAAATGTTGATGTACACTCTTAACGCACTTTGAAAGTTGTATTTTTTTTCAAAGTGCGTTGATTTTGTCCCAATCTTAACGCACTTTGAAAAAAAAATTCAAAGTGCGTAATTTTTTCAAAGTGCGTTGCCACAATGCAATTATATAATTGTCATGTGTTTAAAGTATAATTTTATCTACCGTGGTATTATAAAACACTTGCAAGCAGCTTTATACATTCTGATATTTCATTGTTATTCTGAATGTGATTGTATGAAATATTGAACCCATTTGCCATTACTAGAAAAGTGAACATTAGAACTTAAGTTTTCCACCAAAAGGTGTTATAAATATATGACCTGACGTGCATATTACCACATTACAAACAACCCACCTGAATTAGGTTAAGTAAAGGTTATAACTGAGGGGGCGTGGTGTCAAACTACAAACCTTACGCAAGTCGACTTTATAAACCTCATCTAAAAATTTTAGGTAAACACAAATCTATGAAAGAAACCTTCTCTTTAATCAATATTTATCATATCTTTTAAATAAATGTGTTTATGAATAATGTTAAATATTTATACTTTATAGGAATTATTTGAATTATCCCACTTCTACATTTGGTGGCGATACAAAGATAATAATACTTTGTAAATTTCAAATGCAGTGGATGCTGTGTTTACTATACGAAATGTTTTATGAAAAAGAACTATACACTCTGCGACAGACTACTAGCTCATGTACATGTCGTTTTTTTTTTTTATCAAGACAGAAAAATGCAAGCAAAGTCATATGCTACACTAATATATTTCACAAATAAAGCTGGCGCGATTGAAACCAGTTACTGAATAATTCTCAAAGACATTTTAAAAATATTACAAGAACTAATATGTTCAAAAAAATAATCGAAGGCAAAACATTATTAACTAAAACCATCTGAAACTGATTTCAATGTAATAAAAAGCAAATATGACTAGAAGAAACACCTTGCATGTAGAACTTACTTGCAGAGAGCTACTCCGTCTCTGAGGTAAGTGCATATTGATTTCCAATCAGTGGCTTCCTGTAATGATTCAAATGTTACGTAAAAATAGCAAGGATACATGTATTTGAAACTATATCATTACATGTGCCTCAAAACCTGACGGAGATTGTCTAATAAATGACAGGTAAGCTCAAATACTTACACATTTAGGATGGTCTCCTGCAAGCATTTCATTCAACCAGTTGACAATGTGCACTGGGGTACCAGCCTCCTCCTCCCGGTCATAGTTCTAAATGAAACATTGAAATTAATATCCTGGTCACGGCACCAATAAATTGTATTTTGCACAACTATCAGACCAAAAGTGCATTTTCCCCCGTAGTTTAAAATGCTTATTTGTTTTCAAAATATTACGATTTCCATGATAAATATTCAATATATTTCTCCAATTAAGAATGTTTATATGCTTACTAAGATAAAACTAAAAACAATTCAATCAAAAACGTACTAAGATCTACTACAATATTTAACTCCCGAAGAGACAAAAAAAATTAGATTAAACCCTTGGTAAACTTCTTATATCATTAATAGGTATAAAATAATTAAACAACTTCTATTTATTTAGAGCAAGCTAGTCGGACTATGGGTAAACTCAAAAGTATCACGTGTCATATCAGGAGTTAAATGTTGTTGTTATCAAGAAAATAAAACATTCTACTAAATATATTTCAGAAGGTGAGTATAAGATTGAAAAAAAGATAAAAAAATATCTCATACATTAATCTTGAATATGCATGCTTATCAACCAGGAAAATTCACCGAGAGAACGCGGTCTATAGGTGTAAATATTTTACAGGGAATCTAGAAATAAATTGATTTGTGGAGCATGCGGACAATATATATAAATATGATATAGTCTTTATATATTTTGCCAGCAAGACAATGCTATCGCTTAAAATGATGAAGGTAGACACAAGAGTGAATGTCGTTGCAATGCCGGTTGTTGACACAAAGCAACATTACAAACAAACGATCATGTGGTAGACAACGACATGAGGATTTTTTTTAAAAAAGATATTACAAAGTTTCAAGTTTACAAATTATTATAATGAAATTCTGATTCTAATAAAAATGCGATATATGAGAACAAAGCAACAATGTACATTGCCTATATATGCGTTAACACAGTGCAGCCACGCTTTCTGCATTATATATAGAATAAAAGGCGACGATGTTCCAAATACATATTCCCGTTAAATGTTTTTTTTTTTACGATTGTATAAATTCCATACAACATAAAGTTTGGAATTCTTTGCAGTCAATGTAGCAAGCTTGATATAAAACATAGCTTCATGCTAGCCGGTACAATGATGTTTGACATGCGGCGATAGCATTGTCTTCTCTGCCAGGTACTGTACTAATAGTGAATCTAATATCTCATCTAAATACAAGGTTATAAGGTTTTTCTGTGGTCTTACGGCTTCCATTTTCTTTTGAACTTCATAGCCAAACCCCGATTTGGAGGCTCTAAAGGACATCGTTGGCCCTCAATTTTAAATAATTTTTTCTAGTACCTGTGGTATTAACCGGTGTCTGTGGAGAAAGGTTCATGGAGAATTAAATTTCAATGCTTCAGGTAATCAGTTGTCTTGGGTTAGTCATAACCTTCTGTGCCTCGTAGTCATGTTAATGGAAAATTCCAATGATAGATCATTTCTTCTCACAGTCGAGAAATCCTTATTCTTTTTGAAAAGTGGGTACAGACAAAAATGCTGACTTCGAGACATAAAAGGTTCAAACAAGAAGGATGTTAAGATCAATCCGCTTACAAGTTCCATTTTCTTTTCAACTTCATATCCTAAGCCAGACTTTTTTGCGCGATCACCCATGTTTTATGGCTTTTTCCTGGTTTTGACTCTAAATATGAAAATGAGATGTGCAAAATGGTTAAATATTTAGCTTACTAATTCCATTTTGTGTTCAACATCACGGCCGAACCCTGACTTGCTGGCGCGCACTTTGTCAGAAGACATCTTGTATTAAAGTCTCGCAGCAATCGAACTGAAATTTATCATTCAAACAGGAATAGTCACATACCATCTTGGTATTATAAGACTTAAAATGATAAACTTGTATATTAATAAAAATATTTCACGTTTTATTCGTAGGATTCTTTATTACTTATGACCTCGAATTACCCCGAATCTAAACACTTTTTATTGCAAATGGATCCGTAAAAAAGAAACAGAGGCCATCCCATTAACCTTCTTTATTTTATTTTTCTTCTTACGTATGGCACAGGAAGGGTAATGGTCGTGCGTCGAATAAAAATGCTGGAAATTCAATATTCAGTTCAATCAACCGAAAAAGAATATTAATTCAGTAATTTACCCTCATACTTTCCTAGCATTTGATTCAGCAAAAATTCCTTTTCTATAATTTGAATTTTGTAGATATTTCAAAAACCCTTAATATATGCAAATGCATTGCAAAACAGCAAAAATAATCTTTTTTAATCTTTTTTTCTTTTCTTTGCAATTTCCAACAGAGCCATAAAATCTGCTTTGTTAGCAAACTGTTGATGAATTTCATGTGATGGCTTCCTCCAGAGTATTACGTCACATAATTAGGAAAATACACCGGCCTATCTCAAAATATATCCCAAAAAACTGCTCAAAAGTAAAAGTAGATTCCCAGCAACAAAAAACAGATAAACCTTGTGCTCTAAGGGATATTGTGGGGATATGAATTGTGAAAATAAGCATTTAAGTAAACTCTATTCAGTATCGCTAATATTTTCTACCATTTTCTTGAAGCGCGATTTTTTGGCATCAAACTGATTCGTGACTCATTTGCGATAAGAAACTCAACCTATCAATCAACATTATAAAAATTACCGTTTAAAATTCTAAAATGAAATATTAATTTTGGAGTTAAGAAAGTGAATTAAACTACTCAAAATGTTACATTGTATATCATTTGACCTTTTAATTAGATACTCTTAATCAAAGCATATGCCAGACCCAAAAGCAAACTGTGAAAGCGTACGAAGAAAACTTCTATTACATACCCCTGCCCTATATGATATTAAATTCAGTAAATTCTTGGCCCTGCGTGCTTTTATTGTAAGGAATGCTAAGTGAAGTCGACAGCGAAGTCTTTTCTTTCTAATCGCAGCAAACAAAAATATAGTTAACTACGCATACCGACCTTCACCTTTAGGCGGATTAACGAGATCGCAGGGATGCTTCCATATACCTATACAACACAGGCTGACTCATGGTTCTTTTACACTCTCGTCAGCATATTTCGCCCCGATTTCATTTTCACAATATGTATTTTATTTTCTTAAACACTACATAAGTGAACAAAAAAACTTTTCCATTTTGTTTTCATTGAGAGAAATGAAAAGAATCCGGAAGATAAAATCAACATATCAGAATTGTTTCAAAACGTACATTGATTTAAATAATTAGATACATCTTTACTCAGTCAGGTATATTCTATAAATATATTCGCTCTCTTGAATGTCAATAAAACAAACATTCAAATGATAATCGAATGTTTTACAATGGTTTAAAAATTACACGTACAAGAAGAAAATATGAATCAATGTAAAAATATTTCAATTTATACAATTTAATAAAATTATTCTAATTTTTACAAAGAAAATATTATTAAAACTAAAAACTAGATGTACTCACATGGGGAAACAAAAACACACAGCCGGTACGCTTGAAAAGTATTGAAACACGCGGAAGCAGATAGAAGCTCCTACCTTACGATAAAATTCTCGTTTTCAACCTCAGGAGCCCGCAAAATTGGAACTCCATTTATAGACACGGCGGCTTACGGCACGCGCGCATCTCGTAAGCTCTGAGCGATGAGTAACCCGAGATCTTGAGAGGGGCGATTGTAACTTTTACCTCTCTAAAGATGTAGGAAAATCTGACTGATCTTGTGATAGACTGTTGTGCTCACTAAAAATAGCCACCACCAAAGACACATTGTTAGGAAAATAAGCGAGTGAAATTCATTCTTCTCTCGAATTTTAAGCATTGTGTGTTTTCTGAGTAATAATAATGCCGTCTGCTTTCAACATTCTGGAAATATTTCAGAAACTTACTAATTTCTGCCCTATCAAGCGTCTCTTGTTTTTGCGATAATGATGTGAAATATTTATTTTCTCGCTGTATTATCGCTTCTTTTTTCTTTAAAATTCCAAATGTTTAATTTCAGCAGCAGAGAGAACAGAAATGTTATATATTTGAATATACCCCACCCCCTTTCGGCAATGTTTTGAAAGAAGTCACCCTTTTTGTATCAATATTTATTTTCTTATTCCAAATCACATACATGTAGTTTAAGCGGTAGTTGTTTCAGATTATTGATTTTTATTTTATCAAAAATTTATTTTTAAAATAATTTTTTTTTCCTTTACCATTTTTTTATTTTGTATTTTGTGGGTGGGTGGGATATTAACTTATTAAGTGTGCTAATAATTAAAATTTAGTTTGGTATGTTTATATGCATACTATTCGTACGAACAAAACTCACATTCATCTACAACAAACACTCATTAATAAGATATTTCAATTAACCCTGTAAACAAGATAATATGTCCATAAGTTGACATTGGTAAAAGAAGAGCTCATGTAAGACTCAAGGGCAACTAACGCAGATAAAATGCGATAAACTTCTGCGTACGTTAATGCAGGGGAAAATTTGCTACCGGGTTCGCGGAAGTGCATTTATTGTACTCTAAGACAAGGTACAAGTGTGTATCTCCACCCCATCCGATAGTTTTTAGCTGCTACTATAACAAACTTATTAGTGTTATTTGCATGCTTATAAGACTCATAAAGTCTGACTTTTAGACCGTGCGGTCTACCACGGTATATTATTAGCTTCAACTCGCAAAGGCTAACAATATGATATAAAGTATACCGCGGTCTATTATTATCTTTAAAAAGAACCTTGTAAATAGCAGCAAATCAACTCTTGAATGCCAGGGGTCATCGCTTCGAAAAAATAAAATAAAAATTATTTTATTTATCGATTTTCAAATTATTTAATTTCTTCTTATATCTAAAATGATCAATGTGAAATCGGAAAAAAAATTAAATTAAAAAATCTCGTTACGTCACATCGCCGAGTCAAGTTCGCGGGAACATTCCACGAGATCTGACTGCCTGGAAATGTCACATGTATCCCAATGATCATGATTTGGTAAGTAATTAGATCTATAGCAAAATGAACTGCAGTCGAAAGAAGATGCATGTGCATAAATATATGTAGTAAATTGTAGAAGTACTTGAAAGGTGTTAAAGGTCAATGGTACTATCAGGACCTGCATGCCATGTAGTTATGTTAGGCTTTATTCGAATTTCCTCTAATCAACAAAACTTTTACATTTATGAGCAATTATAGCTGACATCAGTATTTTATACGAGTTAATATATATACATATAAGGATAGGCTTCAAAGGTTTTCTTTAGACAACCAAAAACAAAGAATGAATAAAGTTCTTCAGACTTTTTTTTTTTATAAAGTTGACCACAACTTGTGCCAAGTATGTATATTATAGATATGTTCTTATTTTTATCCTATAGTATTTACTGACAAAATCAACAAATAATACAGTGTGCATTTGTCTCTATTGAAGGAGAGATTTTTTTAATTTCCAAATCAGGGACTAAATTTCACTGTGTTTCAGGCATCACAAATAACAAACATAATTGATACAATTACAAACATGGAAATAATTATGTGTATTATCAAATTCATGGCCCCAGGGTCAGGGGGTCTGGTGCTAGGGTGGGCTACATGTATATAGATTATATAGCGAAAGTGCATTATATTATTTTGAAAATCTTCTTCTCTGCTCCTAGATATTAAATAAACTATAAACTAAGTACATAGTTATGTTCAATAAGACTGCCTCATCCAAAATTGTGAATTTCATGGTCCCTGGGTCAGGGGTTCTGGTGATAGGGCGGGGCTGTATTGATTATGTAGTGAAAATATATTAATTCTTTAAAAATCTTCTTCTTTACTCCTGAACATCAAGAAGTCAAACTGTTGGCATGAATGTAATAAGCATCGAGCTCTCTACCAAAATTATGAAATTCATGGCCCCTGGGTCAGGGGTTCTGGTGCTAGGGTGGGGCTACATGTATATAGATTATATAGTGAAAGTGCATTATTACTTTGAAAATCTTCTTCTCTGCTCCTAGATATTAAATAAACTAATTAAGTACATAGTTATGTTCAATAAGGCTGCCTCTTCCAAAATTGTGAATTTCATGGTCCCTGGGTCAGGGGTTCTGGTGTTAGGGCAGGGCTCTATTGATTATAATATCTTGAAAGTACATTATTACTTCTTCTCTGCTCCTAGGTATTATTTATTGATAAAATAACTTAGTACATAGTTATGATGAGAAAGAGTGTCTATTCCAAAATTGTGAATTTCATGGCTCCTGGGTCAGGGGTTCTGGTGTTAGGTCAGGGCTGTATTGATTATATAGTGAAAATGCATTATTTCTTTGAAAATCTTCTTCTCTGCTCCTGGATATTATCTAAACAAAGGAGGTGCATAGTCATGATAAGCAAGAATGCCTCTTTTTCAAAATTGCGAAATTCATGGCCCCCAGGGTCAGGAGTTCTGGTGAAGGGGCTTTATTGATTATATAATGAAAATGCATGATTACTTTCAAAATATTTTTTCTACTCCTGGTTATAAAGCAAAGAAACAAGTGTAGAGTTATGATGAGCAAGGCAAGGGTACTTTTAACAAAATTTTTAAAACTTGTGGTTCCAAGGGTTCTGGTGTTTCTCCAAGGGGGGGGGGGGGGTTCTATTGATAATATAGTGAAAATGTGTGAATTCTTTGAAAATCATCTAATTGCTTAGTTATGATAATGAGAGTACCTCTTCCAAATTATAAATTTCATGACCCTGGGTCATGGGTTCTGGTATAAGGGCTGTGTTAAGTCTATAGTGAAAATGCATTATTTCTTTGAAAATCTTCTCTGCTCCTGGGCATACTGGGGGCAAACAAAGTAAAAGTTTTAATAAGCAAGGGTATATTTACTGAACATCAAGACCATTTAATCAAGTGTTCTGGTCCTGGCCAGGGTTCTATTAATTTGCATTCTACTGAGCAAAGTTATTCCCTTTTGCCATTCACCTTTGATAATTAATCACTATAAATAATGTATTTGAAAGGTTAATAGAATAAGATAATTATGCAAGAACATTTAGTGTATAGTACAAAGAGTACTTTCATAGTTTTATTGTTCAGGTAGACTTGTAAGTAATGGATAAATAAAAATGAGACAAAAAATAACTTATCTTTTTTGAAGTTTTTCAAAGGCCAAGAGAGGCCAATATGAGAGGTAATAATATGGGGTTAAAAAATAAATATTTTGTTAATAGTCTGCATGGTAATAATGATAAATGGGGGACAGATAGAAAATAGACCGATTATTTTGTTGATTCTAATTATACTGTTTTTCTTGCTTTTGGGCAACATAAGCTTCATTTATCAGTTTATGGATCCTCTTAATTGTTGTACTCAGGTGACCGTTAAGGCCCTTGGGCAACTTGTTTATGTATAGGCTACTTGGGACCCCCCCCCCCCCCATGAATATTAAATACATCAACATATTCAAAAAAACCTCTAGTGCTTGGTAATATTTCTACTTTATAAGCTCACTTTAGCAGCTGAGGCAAAGCCAAGTGAACTTTGTCCCTTGTCTGCCTGTGCTGTTGTATAATCTTTTGACAATTTTAACTTCTATCCAAATTCTCCAGACCATTTTCAATCAAAATTAGACAAAGCATTCTTGAGTAAAAGGGAATTAAGCTTGATCAAATAAAGACCATGTCTTTATTCAAGGGGAGATAATCAAGAAAAGGCAAAAATATATTGTCACGCACAACATATTTCCACTCGAAGAACTGGGCAAGAAAAATACGTATGGTGAAAGGTTTCTGACATTGTCAAGTAAGCTTTTGTAATCACATTTTCTCTGGCATCCATCTGTCAGTAAACTTTTCACATTTTAGACATCTTCTCAAGAACCACTGGGTCAATTTCAACCAAACTTGCCACAAAGTATCCTTGGGTAAAGGGAATTCAAGTTTGTTTGAATGAAGGGACACACCCTCTTTCAAGGGGAGATAATAACCAATTAGTGAAAAATTGATAGCACCTTTTAAAAATCTTTTTCTCAAAAACCACCAGACCACGAAAAAAGAAACTTATATGGAAACATCTTCAGGTAGTGTACATTCAAGTTTATTCAAATCATGAAGCCTAGGGGTAGCAGGGTTTTGATTGTAACATTTATAAGTTTTAGTACCGCGGACTAGTGCTTCTTTTACTAGTCCGTCAAAAAAGAAACATCCATCTTCTTTAACATTTAATTTAAAAATAAACATTACAATATATACAAGTACTCTTTGAAATAGACAGAGCATTAATGTGAGGTGTTTATTCCACAAATTCATTGAAATCTCGCGATCAGGAAGTACCATCGTAATCCAGATCTCATTCTTTTTTTCTTTATGCATTATCAGGGATACATCCAAAACATTGTGCTTTTATGTGTCATGCTTAATCATGATCGCTAAAACGTTTGATATTGTAGCAATCAGTCGTAAAATTAAGTGCTGGATTGATTCAGAATTATGTAACTACCCGCCAAGAAGCTAGAAAGCTAAAAATACATGCAGAATTTTCCAGTTAAAGTTGTCGAGAATCAAACATCAGTCATTCATT